AAGATCCGAAGGTCAGCCACACGATATGTGTATCGTGACGATATCTTATTTCGAATCTCCTATAATGATATGCTGCTCGGATGCAGTGATAAAAAAAAAAGTAAACCACATGCTCAAAGAAGTTCATGATGGAGTTTGTGGGATGCATCAATCTGGTCCTAAGTTGTACAGAAAAATCATCAAGATAGGCTATTACTGGCCTACTCTGAATACTAACTCCCTTATGGTCGCAAAAAACTGTCCAATATGTCAAATTCATTCAAGCTTCATTCACCAAGCTCCTGAACCTCTTCATCCAACAGTGGCATCTTAGCCTTTCGCTCAGTGGGACGATGAAAACCCACAAGGGCATTATGAGTAAAAATATAAAAATGGCAGACATAGTATAAAAACCATGGGCAAAAGCGCCACAAAAAAAAATAAATACAGGGTCCTTGTGAAAACCAGAAATGGCACATGCCCCAAGGACTTGAACGAAAACCCTAGAGGGAATTCAAGTCATGCATGGAGGAGTTCAAATTCACTCCCAACAGGCTTTCGAGGCCCATCCCTTATCCCGTTCCTTGAGGAGATGAGAGTCCAACGCAAAGAATGCAAACCATGGAAAACACGAAATGTGCAAAATGCAAGCTGGAGAAGCAAACCATCAAGGGAGCATGCAAGCAAAGAAGAAAAAGAATTATTCCATATATATGTCAAAGAATTGCAAGATTCATGGGGTAACAATGATAAAACCGAAAAATAAATAAATAATTCACAAGTCCCTAAAAATTGTCAAGAGCTTCGTGAATATTTGCCTTCAACTCATCCACACACTCCAGTGCAGCCTGCCTCTGCTCCTTGAGGCAATAAATGGCTTGAGTGATTTCACTTGGCAAAGCATTAACTTATGCAATCTCGGAATTCAGTCGCTCCAATTGCTGAGACCTCCTTCATATCTCCTCTGCTGTTGACTCTGTCGGGTTTTCAGCTGCGCCACGCGAACTTGCAACATTGTTATCTCATCTTCAGCACTATGTATCTCGTTAGAGAGGATAGTGTTGTCCTCCCCAAGGCAAACCTAATGAGAAGTGAGAAAATCCTTCCTCTTCTCTTATTTCTCGATGAGACCTTGTTGCTTAGCCAAAACTTCCTCAGAAGAAGCCAAGTGTGCCTCATAGGACACCTGCACCACAGACTCACGTTGAAGGGCTTCAGCTCCCCAGCCCTCGAGGTTTTGCAGGAGCCCCTCAAACCAATCAAATACTCCCTTATCATAGGCCGTAGCACAGTCTCTAACTATAGCGACCTTGGTTGCAAGATCGGGGAGGGGGCACTCCTTTACCATTTGAAGGCTTGAGCGCAATAAAGACACAACTACCGAAGTCTTCACGTCTGAAGCGGCTCTTGGCATTGGGAAAGGCAAATGACTAGCCGTGACAAGAGAATCAGCCGAGACAGCTGGCTCACGGACAATAAGTGTCAAAGGCTCAGTGAGAGGAGTGGGAGGCTCAGTGGAGGGATCTTCAGCATGCACTTCTGAAGCTGGCACCTCTGGAGCCGATACTATCACCAAATCCAAAGAAGGAATGTCCAAGGGATGCCCCACTTCTGGCTCCACTTCTGAAGCAGATGGGGCAGGCACTCCTTGAGCTACCACCTCTGTTCCCAAGTCTTCACTGACAGCCTCAATACTCCCCTCTTCGATGACGGTGCACAGGTAAGTCTCCTGGGCTCAGGGATAGGCGAACAGGAGACCCAACAAGACTTACAGCAGGAGGTGTCACTATCTCCACCACTACAGAAGAAGCCCTTCTCGGCTCACAACTAAAACTGAAGGTGGTCAGGCTTAGCCTTTTGGACTAAGCCACAGTAGCTTCTGGCTCTACCCTTAGAGCCGAACGTGACACCATGAGGGGTGGAGTCATGACAGTAGAAGCCTCTACCCTTGCACTCTTGGCAGGTGGAGGTGGTGGTGACGTGCTCGGAATTGAGGCACTCTTCTTGCTCACGTGAGCGCTTCTTTTGGGGGCCACAGGGATGGGCTCGAGACTCTTTATCCCTTTCATCTTTCTTCCCCCTTTCTTCTTTTCCCTCTTTTCAAGGGGTTCACTACATGGCTCATCAGTAGTTAGAGCATTCTTGCCCCGACGGGGCGAGCTCTCTCCAATTTACAGGAAATCCAACTCACAAACTTGGGGGAAGAAAGGTGGAGCAAAATGTCTTCCCAACCTACTATCGTGCTTGGCACTATTGTTGGCTTCTAGGGATGCTCCGAACGCTATTAAGAACGGTTGGTGATGTTCTACCACCGCCAATAAGCTTCTGACGCGTGACCCACACGACCATAGTGGGGGACTACGAACTTGCTTAGCCTCATGAGGCAAAGACAAGTCTCCCAAGCCATCCTCATGATATCAGTCCAAGCCTCACGACTCACTCCCGGAGCTTCATGGTCTTGTTGTTCACCCTTCTTCCCATACTTTTTCTCAAAAAGGATGGTGAAGCAACACCCCTAGTCCAGGTCATGATGGCGCGCAATCCTGTGAGGGAAGTAACCTTCCAACTTCCTGTCTCCAACCCCCTTGAAGGGCAAGATGCATCCTCTCACACTTAGGAGATATATAATCTCCTTTGTCTCGGTGGCCTATTCGTCAGAAACCTTGCCAAAACCGTCTGTAATGACACCATCGGCGGGACCATCTACAATAAAAGGGCTCCCACTAGAGAAGAAGGAGACATTGGCCAAAAACTTGTGTGCTTCTCCTTGACCATCTGAAGACGGCCCTCATTCCTGCAATTTTTAGCATGCGGGAGCAAGAATACCCTACAAGGCCCCCATTAACTTCGTACACCCCAAGATTGGTTCCTCTCTCAGAAAAGTATGCGAAGAGCCACCCAAAGACGTACTGGACTGAGAAACTAGTAGTAAACTGCTTAGGAAAGCCCTCACCAACAAGGATCTCGTTCAGTGTGTCAAAAATACCCTCCAATACAACCGTCATTAGAAACCCCTCCTTGCATCCTCCTCACTTTGTGATTTTTTTAATCAAGAAAATTTTTAGTTTCATCATAGACCTTACCATACCTTATTGGAAATGACCTTACCATACCTTATTGGAAATTCATTTTGAGAACGATAGATATCCAAAACATTGAAGATAAAAATTCAAGCAAAAAGGCTAGTAAAAAATCTCTATATTTGATATTTCTTTAGATTCGGAATATCTTCTTTGAGCCCTACGAGGAATAGGAATTTAGGATGGAAATATTTTACTAACCCATATAAAAATGATAAAAACAAAATTGTGTGCAACTTTTATGGTCATATTTCAAAGGCCATGATGGATAGGTTCAGAAAACATCTTGATGGTAATAGATGTTGTTGCCCTGTATAAAAAAGCTTATGTGCATGTGAAGAAAGATATTCCAATAGACTCTTGAATATGTAGAAGTTGTGAAAATAACCAAGGAGAAGCATTTGCCATATTTGAGAGAAGAAGTTAATATTTTTTTGTGAAGATAAGGAGGATGATGAGCTGAGCCAGGGGGCATTATCTCAAAGCTCTAAGAGGCTCGTGTTTAAGGGGGCCTATTCAAGCTTTCTTTTTCTTTTTTTTTCTTTTTTCTTTTTTTTTCTTTTTTCTTTTTTTTTTTCTTTTTTTTTCCCACCCCATCCCAAGGCCACAACTGAGAAAGGGAAAGACATACGGAAACAAGCCAGTGAGTACTAAAAACGAATTCAAGGAAGGGGTCAAGTAAATCAATTCATTGCTCGCTGGTTTTTTATCCTGGAGACATTCCTTTTACCACTGCTCACCTAATTAACTTTCATACAATGGAAGCAATTAACCAATTTGAGCTAGGGTTGAAAAGCCCAACCTCATATAAACCTTCAAAGCCTTTACTAAAGAAAGCGGTAGAATACACCATGAGTCCCATAAGGATGGGCGGGGTCAAATGTGGCGTCCAATACAACAAATTCAAGGAGTGATAGGAGTATCATGAACATGTTGGTAATCTATCCTTTAGGTACAATACTTTTAAAGATGTTCATGATGCACATTACGGAGTCTATTTGATTGATGAGGACATTGAGGAGATTAGTGAGGAGCATGTAATCAAAGTTGCTACAAATAGCCCCAAAAAAGTCAATGCTTGAACATGTTTCAACATATATGCACATATATTTCTATAAAAAAAGTTGGAATATATATAAATACAAAACTATATATTTTTCACACATTGGCATATATGTGCATTTGGATGGCACATATATGCAGACACCTGAGGCTCTGCACAGTCACGTACGCACTGGGCATCCTAGGTCCCTCCTAGGCACCTAGGAGCCATACAGTGTTTTTTGTGACCTCGTCTTGGAATTAAATTATTATAGTGTCCTTACTAGTTTTTCTGAGTCTAATAGCTTTTTCTATTTACAGACAGATTGAAACTAAAAGAAAGTAAAGGCTCTACACAACAAAGGAACTGCATCCTAGATTGGCTCCACTTAGAAGCAGGATAGAAGACAACTGCTCCTCTTTGACTTCAAATCTTCATAAAAAATTGAACTCAATTTCCTTAAATTATAATGTAGCCTCCTAGATGTTACCAAGGGGCAATGCTGACCAAAACTACTGATTGCATGGGGCTGGCTTTTATTTCTTCGGGACTGTTCTCTCCCGTGTCATCTTCACACAAAAACAATTGTGGAATCCTCCAGAAAAAAAGAGTACCAAGCAGATAGAAGAACACCAAATGCACATAGTTTAAATACAATCTCATTGAAGGCAAAAAGACAAAAAATAAGACAAAGAATGGAATCGTGGATCTAAGAATTATCCAAGATACACCAGCGGATCTGCACCATGTTAAACTCCACTGTCATGCAACCCAATTTTTACATTCACCAATCTAAACTAATGTTCTTTGAAACAAAGAGCTTGTCAATATACTTGATGACAGGGTCTGAAGCAGCAATGTACCTTTTCATTTCCTTTTCCACAGAGTACTCTGCAAGACCAATAGGACAGTTAAAGAGATCCATCCACAGCAATTAGCACGAGTTCCAATCAAAACCCAAAAGTTGGAAAAAATTGTTACTCAGTATAAAAAGCTGATAATCAGAATTTTGATGGATCAAATGCTGCATATGGGAGGAGACAAAAAACTATGGTTATTTAGATAGTGAGCTCCCTTCAACATTAAAGTCAGGGAGATTCCTCTAGCCAAACTCTAATATAACAGTAAAAGAGTCCAATGTATGACTTAGTCAAATCTCCTAATCATTTAAAACTTAAAACCAATGGTAATTCAGTATAAAAGATGATACAGTTATGATAGATTTAAGTGCTGCATCAATTTGGTTTACAAGAAGAAAAAAAAAACGGAAAAAAAATAGAGAGAGAAAGAACTCTGCAGTTCTTTAGACACCAACAAATCATCTAGCACCTGAATGCAGTCAGTTTTGTGCAGTTATGTGCATCCAAGAGAAATGAGTCGCTCTTGTGAGATATTTTGACCATTTTAGTTTCTCTAAATAATCTATCTTTATATCATGCAAAGTGGGTACTACAAATGGTTTACAACAACTTCCATGATTGAATGTTCAATATGGTACATCACAAGCTTGCTGATGCACCATCTTTAAGAGCATCAAATTAGACTACTCAATGATGAATGATTGGGAGGTATTGCAGAAGAAAATTGTAATAGGAACTAGAAAGGAAGCGTTGTATGCAAATGGAGGAAACAGGTAGACTCCTTATGTTTGTGGAAGCATGGAGATTGGCAATGGTAAGTGGTGCTACTTTTGTTCCACAGTTTATAGTCATGATCTCCTAATCAAGGGCCGTCTTGCTCCAAAAGCTCGCTCTTGGGCTCCAAGGAGGGGAACCACACTCCATGCGATTTTTAAACTTTAGGAACTCAAACCTTCAAGATCCTAAGTTATATGTGATCCAAAATCCTTTGCATCATATCTGAGGGTTCACAGGTAAACTGAACTGTGGGATCATAATTCCTTTAGTGGTAGAATCTACCATCCCTCTTGGCGCTCTTTGATAGGTCAAAAGTTCAAACATTCATATTCAACTTAACACCAAGTAATGGCTATTTTGCATAACTAGCTCATACTTCTAAATAATATATAATATATTAGTTGCATGTTTTGTTCACATGAATAATCTTCCATGGTGGTAGACTATATTAACCCTTTTGGTCTCTTTTACTGGTCTCAAGTCACCTTAAGCTTCAACTATATATGTATCTTAATATTTGTTCAACAAAGGAAGATGGCCATGATTGTTCTCACGTTACATAATCCCATAAGGACTGGAGGACTCTTCAATTCCCCTTAAATACATGTCCATCTACCGGATGCCCATCAAGCGATTAATTTTGGCAACTAAAAGGAGGTTTGTAAGACCAAGTTCGATTTGGGTGTCAGAAATCAAGGACATCAGATTGGTAAATGAAGGTTCTCACCTCTATAATATTTGTGCGAATAGTATGTTGACAATTGAGGAGGAGACAATGAAGAGGAATGTGGTCCAGTAAAGCAAATTCAGGAAGGCTATTAAATCTCCAAAATTTGCTAGGCAATGGAGCAGGCTGTGGAGCAAGGGCAAACATCAAAGCAATAGTTATGGAGTTTAAGGATTGTGTTAGGTTCAGTGGAAGCATCAAAGCAGTCCACATATGCACACACGCACACACTCTTTATATTAAGAAAATGGTAGCGAGGAATCTTTGGAGCACCACTTTTGGGTATATTCATCATGACTACAAACAAACGTGCAAGTGACACGAGGAGTTCCTTTTAGGGGAACCTTGGTGACATGAAGGCAGTGATGGGTGGCTGAATATTGGTCTTAAAGCTGCATAATATGTCAAACAACAACACAAATTGGTTTAGTAAACCCCAGTTTATTTTTATACATGAATCAAACAGAAAACTCATTCTCAAAAAAATGTCCAATAAACTAGTGGGTGTTTATTTACAGCTTGAGTGGTCTAGAAGAGAAGTTTTTGCAAGTATTGATGCTAAGAATACCTTTTCATTTGTGTGTGCTTTATAGGGATGCAGAGACAGAGTAACATCAATCTATTACATTGTTGCAGCTTGATATGGCATTTTGAATTTCAAGGGCTTGCCTCAGGTGTATGAACGATAATTACAGATGCACAAATGTACAGACATCTCATGGTCTCTTCTATTGTTGGGTTGATGGAAACAATGTGTCGATGGTGCTTCTTCTAACGTGGTGTTATTTGTGGTATCAATTGATGCTCTTTAGCATGGGTTGGCTGCCTTACTAGTGTTGCCACCAATGATGTCCAGAATTTGTTACTGATTCGTCCCTTCTGTTGAACTGCATGAAAAATGTGTCTCCCTCTTGGAAACTTCTCGTGTTGGCTGCAAATGTTAGCTTTCTTTTGGAATAATAACTATAAGAATAGTGCAGCGAATATGGAAGCATATAAACTTGCTAGAAATCTCGAAGATCCAACTGTATGGAACTCTAGGCGTAATCTTCTAATATTTTATAGTTGATCATGATATAAACTGCCTCTTATAATGGCTATTGCATCATACACATTTTTTTCTTATTTCCTTGTATTAATGAAAAATGAGTAGGGGACCTTTATCTTCATTAATCTAGAAAAGAAGTGAAGCAAAGTGAGGTCATGGAGTTATGGATGTTATGGTACCCATTCTGATGGGGCAAAGGACCCTGGAAGTGATCAAAAGATCCCCTCATCAAATGAACAAAATAAACAAAATCAAAGATTGGCTGGTGTTGGGGGTTTGCAACAGATTCAGATAGGGAGAATGTGAGATGTTTTTCAGGCTCTAAGTGCAAAGAGCAAGGCACTAATAAAATCCCCTTGGACTTCTGTAGGTTCACCTGATAATCGAAAGTTTCTCAATGAATGTGGTCGAATGGCGGTAAAAAGGTGGGGCAATATAGAGTTACTTTAGAGACCAACTTCTCAGGCATAAATCAAACCAGATATGGATAATCACTGCTTCTGAAATTATAAAGTGAACTTCTGATAGAGACTTTTCTTTATCCCATAAAAAAATATATTGAATCGATCAACAGTAATTATGGTGCATATATGTAACATGGGAGTTATGTTCATTTAATTGGCACAGAAACTCGATAGTAGAACTTAGAACTGGTGCAGACCTAAAACTCATGTAAGGCTGCAGACAAATTCATTAAAGGAAAAAGGACTATACCCCCCTCCCCACATTTGTAGTCCCTAATAAGCCCTCGGGTCCATGGAGAGCCCATGGGACCCCTCCAAGTTTTAGATTGGGACATAAACCCCCTCCAACGTTTTACACAGTATGATTTACAATACAATTGTTGCCCTTTATTACATGGCCTGTTGATCCAAAGCCCTAAAACAAACCATGAAACCCTTGCTCTCCATCAAAAAAGCTCTCTTTCCACTCTAATACAACTAGTGAACCCCTGTCTTTCCATCAAAAAAGAAGGTAGAGGCCTCCAACTAGTGAACCCCCATCTTTCCATCAAAAAAGAAGCTAGGGGGTCTCTCTCTCTCTCTCTCTCTCTCTCTCTCTCTCTCTCTCTTCTCTTACTTGTTACTTACGTAACTAACTAACTAACTACTACGTACGTACGTACGTAGTACGTACGTACGTCGTACGTCTACTTACTACCGTTACCGTCCTT